ATATTTAAGTCTTTGATCCATTTTGAGTTAGTTTTTGTGCATGGTGTGAGGTATGGGTCTTGTTTCAGTTTTTTCAGATGGATATCCAGTTATGCCAGCACCATTTGTTAAAGAGACTGTCTTTTCCCCAGTTAACAGGCTTTGGGCCTTTGTTAAATATCAGCTGCTTGTAGGTGGATGAATTTATGTCTGGATTCTCAATTCTGTTCCATTGGTCCGTGTATCTGTTGTACCAGTACCAGGCTGTTTTGACTACCGTGGTGGTATAATAGGTTCTAAAATCAGGTAGTGTGAGACCTCCCACTTTGTTCTTCTTCTTGAGTAATGCTTTATTTATTCGGGGCCTCTTCCCTTTCCATATAAAATTGGTGATTTGTTTCTCCGTCTCATTTAAAAATGCTGGTGGAATTTGGATCAGGATTGCATTGTATCTGTAGATTGCTTTGGGTAGAATTGACATTTTCACAATGTTGAGGCTACCTATCCATGAGCAAGGTATGTTTTTCCACTTATGCAGGTCTCTTTTGGTTTCTTGCAGTAGTGTCTTGTAGTTTTCATTGTGTAGATCTTTTACGTCTCTGGTTAGATTTATTCGTAGGTATTTTATCTTCTTGGGGGCCGCTGTAAATGGTATTGATTTGGTGATTTCCTCTTCGAGGTTCTCTTTGTTGGTGTAAAGGAATCCAACTGATTTTTGTATTTTTATCTTGTATCCTGAAACTTTGCTGAAATCTTGTATTAGTTCCAGTATTTTCTTGTGGATTCTTTGAGGTTTTCTGTGTATAAGATCATGTCATCTGCAAATAGAGATACTTTGACTTCTTGCCTACCAATTTGGATGCCTTTATTTCTTTTTCTAGCCTAATTGCTCTGGCTGGGACCTCCAGCACAGTGCTGAATAAGAGTGGTGATAGAGGGCATCCTTGTCTGGTTCCCGTTCTCTAGGGGAATGCTTTCAAAGTCTCTCCGTTTAGGATGATGTTGGCTGTTGGCTTTGTATAAATGCCCTTAATTATATTGAGGAATTTCCTTTCCGTTCCTATTTTGTTGAGAGTTTTTATCATGAATGGGTGTTGGACTTTGTCTAATGCCTTTTCTGCATCGATTGATAAGATCACGTGGTTCTTGTCTTTGGTTTATTGGATGGATTACATTGTTTTTCTAATGTTGAATTATCCCTGCATACCTTGTTGTTTTACTTTACTTTTGACAGGAAGTATAATATTGTGAAAAGTGACTTAGCCTAGAAAGTTTAAAGGCATGTCATTACTAGTTTTTTTACTTTGTCAAATCGTATATTATCTTTGAGCTTTTGTTTCTTTTCAGTAAACTAATAATGGTATCTGCTTTGCTTCCCTTGTAAGTTAAAGGTTCAATTGAGATGATGTAATTAACATCATAAAGCATCTTAGAAACATATGAAATGATCATTTCCTAATTACAGCTCAAGCGCATAATTGGTAAGTGATAAGTGCATATATGCAGGGGTTAAAAAAGTTCTATTGTTGCAGAATCCTAAGCATTTGGAATTTACTGGGTCTGATTGCTTAACCACTCTGTAGAGAACCAGAATTTGTTTCTCTCGTCTCTGATCATAACGTAGTTGTAATGCAATAATTAGTGCAGACTTTATTTTCAGTTACTCTTCTATGATGTAAAGTGTTACTTTTAGTAACTTATTTTTATTTTCTCCTATTCACTCCCTCCCTTTTTTTTTTTTTTAAATCCAGATTCAGGAAGAATCAGATATGTGGAAAATAAGAGAACTAGAGAAACAGATGGAAGATGCTTACCGGGGATCCAAAAGGAAAATGTTACCTAGCAGTTCAAGGTGGAGTTGCAGCTCTAAGAACCCAGATAATTCTTATGTTTTTCAGAATCATCAACTTTTGTTTAAAAAGATTTGAAATGCTAAGGATAGATGTTTCACATCTAGAATTCAGTTCTGTCGGTCCTTAATCCTTAGAACCTATTATTTTAGAACCTTTCTTAAGTCTAGACCCAAGCATAAAGGTAATGGCTATACTGTATATGAACCTACTCTTTGTATTTACATGCAATGGAAAATTTAAAAATTCTGCCTTAAACACATGTAAATATTGAGGCTTCTGTGGGTTTTGCCTTGATGCATGGCTTTTTTTTTTTTTTTTTTTTGTGGTCAAATACTATACATACCATAACATTTACTTACTATTTTAACCATTTTTGGGTGTACAATTCAGTGGCATTAAATACATTCACAATGTTGTGTAACCATCACTACTGTCTATTTCCAGATCTTTTTATATCATGCCTATGGAAACTCTGTACCCATTAACAACTTCTCATTAACTCCTCTCCCAGCCCTTGGTAACCTTTATTCTACTTTCTATGAATTTGCTTATTCTAGGTACCTCATATAAGTAGAATAATATTTGTCCTTTTGTGACTGGCTTATTTCACTTAGCATTATGTTTTCAAGGTTGATTCATGTGGTAGCATGTATCAGAACTTCACTTCTCTTTAGGGCTAAATAATCCTCCATTGTATGTATGTAAGAGGAGCCCTGGTGGTGCAGTAGTTAAAGTGCTTGGGTGCTAATCAGCTGTTTGAACCTACCAGCCGCTCTGTGGAAGAAAGATGTGGCAGTCTGCTTCCGTAAGGATTTACAGCCTCGGAAACCCTATGGGGCAGTTGTACGCTGTCCTTACTTGGTCGCTATGAGTCAGAATGGCAATGGGTTTGGCTTTGGTTTGGTATGTATATACCACATTTTATCTATCCGTTTTTCTGTTGATGGATACTTGGGTTGTTTCCACCTTTTGCTGATTGTGAATAATGCTGCAGTGAACATTGGTGCACATAAGTCTTAAGTTCCTGCTTTCAGTTCTTTTGGATATATGCCTAAGAATGGAATTGCTGGGTCATAAGATAATTCTGTTTTTAACATTTTGAGTAACCATTGCCTGATGGCTTTTAACCTAAGATTTTCTGTTGGTGTCTTGTGGTCACTTAGCTATCCATTCACTCTTTTCCCGTATTAGTCTTTCATTCTTTCAGCCTTTTGTTTACCCCATCTACCCTCTTTGCCGCATCACATAAGCTTTTACATTACCTTTTTAATGCCTTTTACATTATCTTTTTAATTTGAATATAAATATGAAGTTTTATGTAGACTTGGTTGTCTTATACCTGTGGAGGTATAGGAATGTCTCCATAGTTGGGAACATCTCTTGGGAATTATATGCCTGTGAGTGTAGGAGCTGTGAGTATGAGAAGTGACTATAGCGTAATAATCCTGATTTCTAAAGCCATCCTGGAAAATCAGTAGTTAATAGTGAGATATTTTAGGAGAGTGAGTGTGCCTGTGGAGTATGTGGACTTTGGCATATGACTGGTTGTGTATGAATGGCTTCTGACAAGAAGTGTTCAAGCTGTCCATGGTAAAGAAGGCCAAGTTGTCAACAGAAAAACAAATCTTTTCAGTTTGTTTTCACGCTGAAGGTTTAACTGAGGATTGAGAAGCACATTTAGTACAGATGATTTATATTGTTGTTAGTTGCAGTTGAGTTGGTTCTGACTCACAGCGACCCTGTGAACAACAGAACGAAACACTGCCTGGTCCTGTGCCATCCTCGCAGTCTTTGCTGTTTGAGCTCGTTGTTGCAGCCACAGTGTCAGTCCATCTCGTTGAGGGTTTTCCTCTTTCTCACTGACCATTTACTTTACCAAGCATGATGTCCTTCTCCAGGACCCTCCTGATAACACGTCCAAAGTACGTAAGATGAAGACTCGCCATCTTCCCTTCTAAGGAGCTTTCTGGCTGTACTTCTCCGAGACAGATTTACTCATTTTTCTGGCAGTCCACGGTATATTCAGTATTCTTCACCAACACCATAATTCAAAGGCATCAATTCTTCTTCCATCTGCCTTATTCATTGTTCAGCTTTCACATGCATATGAGGCGATTGAAAATACCATGTGGGTCAGGTGTACCTTAGTCTTCAAGGTGACATCTTTGCATTTTAGTACTTTAAAGAGGTCTTTTGCAGCAGATTTGCCCAAATCCAATACATGGTTTGATTTCTTGACTGCTGCTTCTGTGTGTGTTGTGGATCCAAGTAAAATGAAATCCTTGACAACTTCAGTCTTTTTCCATGTGTCATGATTTGCTTTTTGGTCCAGGCGTGAGGATTTTTGTTTTCTTTATATTAAGGTGTAATCCATACTGAAGGCGGTAGTCTTTGATCTTTATCAGTAAGTGCTTCAAGTCCTCTTCACTTTCAGCAAGCTAGGTCATGTCATCTGCATATCACAGGTTGTTAATGAGTCTTCCTCCAATTCCGATGCACATTCTTCTTCATACAGTCCAGCTTCTCGGATTATTTGCTCAGCATACACATTGAATAGGTATGGTGAAAGGATATAACCCTGATGCACACCTTTCCTGATTTTAAACCTTGCAGTATCCCATTGTTTTGTTCAAACAACTGCTTCTTGGGCTATGTACAGGTTCCATATGAGCACAATTAAGTATTCTGGAATTCCCATTCTTTGCAATGTTACCCATAATTTGTTATGATCCACACATGGTCAGTAAAACACAGGTAAAAACGTCTTTCTGGTATTCTTTGCTTTCAGCCAAGATCCATCTGACATCAGCAATGATACCCCTCGTTCCATGTCCTCTGCTGAATCCGGCTTGAATTTCTGCCAGTTCCCTGTTGATGTACTGCTGCAACTGTTTTTGAATGATCTTCAGCAAAATTTTACTTGCATGTGATATTAATGATATTGTTTGATAATTTCTGCATTCCATTGGATCACCTTTCTTTGGAATGGGCACGAATTATGGATCTCTTCCAGTCAGTTGGCCAGGTAGCTGTCTTCCATGTTTCTTAGTATAGACGAGTGAACACTTCCAGTGTTGCATTCATTTGTTTAAACATCTCAGTTGGTATTTTGCCAATTCCCTGGAGCCTTGTTTTTCACCAGTGCCTTCAGTACAGCTTCGACTTCTTACTTCAATACTATTGGTTCTTGATCAGTGCTACCTCCTAAAATGGTTGAAGGTCAACCAGTTCTTTTTGGTATAGTGTGTGTTCCTTCCATTTTCTTTTGATGCTTCCTGCTTTGTTCAATTTTTGGTCCCTAGAATCCTTTAATATTGCAACTCAGGGCTTGAATTTTTTCTTCAGTTTCTTCAGTTTGAAAAATGCTGACCATGTTCTTTCCTTTCGGTTTTCTAACTCCAGATCTTTGCACATTTCATTGTAATATTTTACTTTGTCTTCTCATGCCACCCTTTGAAATTTTCTGTTCACCTCTTTTACTTCATCATATTTTCTTTTGCTTTAGCTACTCTATGTTCAAGAGCAAGTTTCAGAGTCTTTTCTGACATCCACTGTGGTCTTTTTTTTCTTTTCTGTCTTTTTAATGACCTTTTGCTTTCTTCATTTCTGTTTTATATTAGGTTGTTCAATTCCAAGTGGCATTTCTGGGAACAAAATATTACTCTTTTAGGGTGGAGTCTATATTGATGCCTGTCATATCAGTTAACTTTAGAACATAATCTCTTTAGTGGCAGGGATTATAGTTGTTTTATCTGTTGCTATATTCCCAGCAGGTGGAACAGTGCTTAGCACATAATCGGTTCTTAAGAATTTCTAATAACTAATTGGCTAGCTTCCTGGCTGGTTATTGGACACTGTAAACACAGGCTGGACCAGTGGTTCTCAACTTTTTTTCTATCCCAAGATACCCATGTGTTATGCCTTCATCCCATTGTTACTGTGACCACGCTACAGCAGTGAGTCGCTGGTTTGCAGGGAGGGAGGGCTATTTCAGAATTGTAGTTTGAAATGTCTCTAGTTGTCATTATGCTCTGCTTCCGTCTTTGCATGCTCTTCTACTTGAGAATCAGTGAGTTACAGCATGCCATAATCTGGAAGAGATTCCCCTGTATTTTACAACCTGTTCTTCTCTATACTCAGTAAAGGTGTCCAGTGAAAATAATGGTCTGATTGTTTTCATTGGGTACCTTTACTGATGTATAGAGAGGAACAGATGATGCGTTTTACATTTTTTTGTTTAACAGTAAGTGTCAGGTTGTTTTGTTCTTCCCTTAGCTTGTTCCATGAGCTTTATGCATGATGTTCCATAGAGTAACCTCACAGTTGGTTTTAAATCTAAAAGTACTTTTCTGCTTTCTCTTACAGCCGGATGCGTAGTGATGGTTTTGATGAAGAAAGTCAGAGAGACTATTGGAAGCCAAGGCATGAAATTTCTGGGACACTAGAAGATGATTTTCTTAAGGCTAAATCCTGGAACAAGAAGTTATATGATTATGAAGCTAACATGCCAGACAGGTTTGTGTCTAAATTCCTATGACTTTTAATGATATTTGGCCTGAGAATGTATACATTTAAAAACTGTCCCTACAAAAATCTGTACACAAACGTTCATAACTGCATTATTCAAAATAGCCAAAAAGTAGAAACAATCCAGGTATGTATCAGTTGATAAATAGCTAAACAAAATGTGGTATATTCATACAATGGAACATTATTTGGCAGTAAAAAGGAATGAAGTACTGATAACACTACAACATGGATGAACTTTGAAAACATGCTAAGTGAAAAAAGCCAGACTCAAAAGACCACATGATTCTATTTATGTGAAATGTCCAGAATAGGCAAATTCATAGAGACAAAGTAGATTAGTGGTTGCTAGGCTGGATGGGACAAGTGGAGGATGACTGCTGATGGGTATGGAGTTTCTTTTCGGGGTGATGGAAATGTTCTGAAATTGATAGTGTTGATGGTTGCACAACTCTGTGAATATACTAAAATCCACTGAATTTTACACTTTAAGAGGGTGAATTTTATTGTATGTGAATTGTATCTCAATAAAGCTGTTATTTAAAAAACAAAAAATTGTCCCAGCGTAGAAAGCGTTGTTATATGTTTGTTCTTTTTCAGAAGTGCTTTATAGCTAAAGAAGAGTATCAGAGTTCTTTAGTGTTTCTTAAGGAAAAGAATGGCAAGTTCTCTTACAAGTGGACAAAAGAAACCTTTATGTCTAAAATGGTAGTATGTAGTACAGAAAATATTTAGGTTACTGTGCTGTAATGCAGGTTTGCCTCTATCATATCTCTTATTTCCTTTTCTCTGTATGCGTGCAGTCTTAGGTCTAAATTTAATTTCCAAAAATGTATGCATTGCTTTGATAATGCATGTAATGTGTTACATTACAGATGGGGTCACAGTGGTTATAAAGAGTTATACCCTGAAGAATTTGAGACAGACAGGTAAGGCACATAGGATTACTGGGGAAAAAGAAAGTATGAAACTCATAGTAGTACAAAGTCTGTACTATAAATTGAGTTACTAACTTTTACAAAGAATATAACATCATTTGCCACTGAAAACATAACTAGAGAAACAACAGGTAATTTAGTTGGGACGCAATTCGTATTTTGCCTTTCCCTGATGTTTGGAATGTCTATAGCATTTAGGTTTTTATATATACTTAGTATTCCATTCAGTAACTCAGTATGGCAGATTAGTATTATCTTCATTTTAAAGATGAGGAAACAAAAACTCAGTGAGTATAAATAGAGTAGGAAAGTCTGAGTGACCCTATTTAAAGCTCTAATTTAAAATTAAAATATTTACCCAACTTCCTATCTAGAATGTAGGATATTAAAATGTAAATATACCTTTTCTTTCCTGTAGTAAAAGTTTCTTTTTTACTTTTTTATTAGTAGTGATCAGCAAGATGTTATCAATGGAAAAAAGACATCTCCCCAGGTAAAATCAACTACCCACGAATCCCGCAGACACAAGAAGTCAAAGAAATCTCACAAAAAAAAGCAGAAAAAAAAGTCACACAAAAAACAGAAGAAAAGCAAAAAGGAAGCCATAGATGTAGCAGCACATTCCTCAACTGAAATCTCAGAAGAAACTGAGGCTTCCAGTACCAGGAAAAGGAAACAACCACATAAGCGCAAGAAAAAATCCAGGAAAAAGTCTCTCAAAAAACCTGCTTTGTTCTTAGAGTCAGAAAGTGACACTTTTCAGTCAGATGACTCAGCATCCAGCAGCTCTGAGGACAGTCAGGAAAGAGACACTAAGAAAACCAAAAGGAAAAAGAGAGAGAGGAAAGTTCATATCCCTGTAACTAACAATGAAATACAGGAAAGGACAAACAAACGCACAAATTGGAAAGTGGCCACAGATGAAAGGTCTGCTGAGAGTTCAGAGGATGACTAAATGAGAAGATCCATTGTTCAGTTTCTCATGTGACTCTGCATATTTACAGCCCTTATACCTTGGGGCTTTGGCAGTGACTCTTATTCAGCACAGGGGGCCTGAGGTCAGCTGTCTTGTGCCAGCTGTGTCCATTCTGATAGACTTCTTTCCTTCTATTTTGGCCTGTTAAACTTGATCCTCTTTTATTGTTAATAGGGAATCTGGTATTTTGATATGAAGGTTTCTTGAAAAGATTATTTTTTGCAATTAATCATGTGTAGTTTAGAGTACGTATACAACAAATTAAAGGACCCAGAAAGCTGAATCCAATAACGGCCTGGGCACACCTACTGGAATGTTTGAGTTTGGGGAAAGCAAGGGCTGGGATCAAGAGGTGGATTGGAACCAGTGTTGAGTAGAATGGTATGACAAGGGAACATTTGTCTTGTGCTCTTGTCTCCCTTTATATAGCAGGAAACAAAAACTTTTGTTTCCAGGCTTGGTGCTTTGATCCTTCTATATTTTGCCCCCCCAGATGTGGTCCAGTTTACTTAATGAGGAAATGGGTCTATGAACAAACTTCTTTCCTTCCTAACATCTGTAGATAGCTACTATTAGAAGGCCCTAGGGCTTTCTCAAAATTTCCCTGCTGGACAGGGTCTATAAAACTATGCTTAATATACCCATAAATATGGTAATTGGATAAGTGGTTTCCTAATGAACATTGCCTAAATGGACTTGTGTTTGAAATTAATTTCTTAAGTTGTCTTAGATAATCCTCTAACCAAATGGAGACGAATTAGGAATTAGTCATGCTGTCTAATGGTGCTCTGAACAGGATTTCAGGGTTGCAACTGCCATTTAAATGTTGTTTTCCATGTTTATTTCTCAATCTATTAATGAACTTCAAATAGTCCTTGAAACTAAGTATAATCAGTTCCAAAATGAAACAGGCTTCTCAGGGACATAGCCAGTTCTTCCCAGTCTGCCTTTAAATTAAAGCATTGAGGCAGAGACCATATTTCCGGATGTCATACTATGATCCCTAACATGTTAATTCTTAAGAAACCAAAATATCACCAAGACAGGCAGAACACAAGTAAATTTTTTCATTGTGGGAGAAAAGTTCTCTTCCTGGCCTCACCTTCCCCATGTATAATACAGAAGTACTTCATGGTAGCGTAACAATATACAACACCAGCAATAGAACGTAACTGTGACATTCTATGGGGTGGTAATATTTTCTAGTTCTATTAAATTTGTTCTTTTTATGGAACAGATTTCTAATAAAGTGCTTAGTCTTAAAATAATGTGGTTGGCCAGAGGTTCCCTATCTCTTGATTATGAGCAGGTGCTACCTTATGGGATATTTATTTGAAATATTAATACTTTGGCACTGATCTGTCCATTTTCCATGGTGTGTAATTTTTATCTTTGGTATTAGTGGGGGCTTAAGGGGATAGATAAGTCTCTAATTACTGCCTCTTAACCTAAAGCAACTATTACATTCTTGGAGCAAATGGAATCCTTGTTGAAAGTTTTTATCATGTATTTTTAGCATTGTTTCTGTGCTGTAAAAAGTGCTGTCCTGATTGTAAGCCGACTCAGGAAGGTGGGCTAATGGAACAAGTCACCTCCAGGAATTCAGCTCTATTTGGGTCATAACCTTCTCCACCTCCAATACTAGCAGGCCTCTTTTCCAACTAATACGGCATCTTGCCTGTTGTTTTTGGCCATGGTTATCTTTTCTTGGTCATGTGTGAGCAATAAAGCTGTCTTCGTTCTTCACCTATCTCAACCCCAAACTCTCCTCCTTGTCTTAACTAAAACTTTGATGGTTCTTCTAAACCAAACCAAACCAAACCCACTGCTGTTGAGTCAATTCAGACTCAGAAGCCCTACAAGACAGAGTAGAACTGCCCCACAGTTTCCAAGGATGCAAATCTTTATAGAAGCAGGCTGCCACATCTTTCTCTTGTAGAGCATCTGATGAGTTTGAACTGCTGACCTTTTGGTTAGCAGCCAAGCACTTAACCACTGCACCACCAAGGCTCCTTCATGGTTCTTCTAGCCCCCTTAAATATGGCTTAGAGTGGCTCTTCAAAATCTTTCAAGATCTCTCATTTGCACTGCCAGCCTTGGAACATACTTATTTCTAGTGTTCCTGACAGTCAGAAATCTCTATATTAAATTCAGTCCTAAAATGGGATTTAAAAGAAACTTGGAGAATTCACATTTATTGAATAACTGATATGATACAATCTGGAATTTCTGAATTCCAAATAAATTTCACTTTCTGAACATTTGATCTGTTACTTTTTAGCACCAAGAGGCTTGGTAACAGCCTGATGTTAACTTGACAATGGAATGACATCCTTACTCCACTGGCATTTTAATAACAAGTCCTTTGCTGCTTCTGTCATTGTCCCAGGAGATGGCCTACTGCCCTCCTTTCTGTACAATCTGGGCAAACCGACTGGTGATGGCAAGGGTAGTATCAATGAAGCGGTCCACACAGCTAGAGAGACAATTTTCAGTGCGAGAGTCTAGGCGATTCCCTGGCTTCTCCACACACTTATCCCAACACAGCTCCATGAAATGATGCACCTGAGAGGAAAGAAAAATAGTAACCACTGGGATCTGCAGATATAGGCCTAACTGTCCATTTTCTTATTTTTTTTCCTATTGTCCTTATTTTCTGTTGACAAAACCACTCTTTCAATCAACAAACCGTGGAGTCACTTTTCACTATAGGATCTCTTTTCCTCATTTGCTAATTTGTCACCAACATGGCCCAGATCCTCATCCCTAGATTGCAACAAAATCCTTTTATTGGCTCCTTTTCTGTATTTTTCTCCTTTAGTAATCAAAAAACACTCCATCAAGTCACTCGTTCGCTTAATGCACTAACCTTAAATTTCTCTGCTAGCTGCACAAGGCACTCCCTTATATAACCCCCAACCTGTACTGTGTCTGAGGTCCACACACAGTATGCTCAACTTGACTCTTCATGCTCCTGTGATGCCCTCCCTAAAGATTCGTCCCATTCTTTAAGACAGTCCCAATTCTTACCTCCTTTAAGGCCACTGACAACTCTGCCTTCAAACCTGTCCTATAGTACCTCTAATAGTTTAAAATACGCGACTTGTTTAATGAATATACATTGATTTGTTTTCTAATTGTGTCAAGTCCTCAATCAGATTGTGACTTCTCAGGCTAGGTTAATTCTTTTATATTCCCCAAAGCAGCTAGCACCTATGTAAACAGGGAAGGTAGGGTAAGAATTCCCTCAAATTACTGCATTCCTCTCATTCTGGACCTATCCCCTAGGACAGCAGCTCTTAACCTTCCTGGGGTCATGGAGACACGTGAGAATCCAATGAAAGTTATGGATCCACTCCCCAGAAAAATGCACACACAGGCACATAAAATGTATTTCTGAATGGTAAGCACCCCAAGATTTCTAACCAGGGTTCTCGCTCCTCATTCTCTGTGAATCCCTCCCCCAAAACAGAAAAACCCTTTTACTGAGGGCTTACTAGTTGGGAGGCTGGGTACTGAGTACCATAGTCTGTGAGGCCTACGGAGTCTGGACTCCTCATAAATCGGTTCTGACGTAAGTAGAATATCTCATTTTTTCTTTTTAGTTTTCATTATTATTGCCTTATCAGTATCTTTATAAATCATAACATTAAACATCTGTAACCGAACATCTGAGAATAACAACAAATTATGTGCTGCAACACCGTATGTAGTACATATTACTAAGATTTAAAAAAAAAAAAAAAAAAACTACAGGAAGTCGTTAAGTGCGGTTTGTCCTAACTGGAATACCTCGTTAAGTCCGGGACTACCTGTATTCAGCCGATCTGCAGCCCTAAAAGATGGCTATCGTGTCCTCCATTTAAAAGCGTGGTTAATTAGCCCAAGGTCATGCAGCTAGTAAGGGATCATGCTGGGGTTTGAACCCATGACTAACAGACTCCAAAACCCTTTTCCTTAACTAACGGTTTACGCTACTTCAGAGCCCACCTTTCCTATTAGCGTTCTAGTATCCCTTCGTTTTCAAATACATGATTGCATATGACCCTTGGAATCCAGTGAGGCAATGAGCGATGACGAAACCAAAACCCACAGAGGCTGGGTACCTTGTCCAAGTGCACGTGCATGTAAGGGGCCGAGGGTGGATTAGAATCCAGAGCTCTCGAACAACCCGGAAACCTCCATGGGTCTCCCAAATCTTTCTCCCCCTTGTTTACACTGTCTTCACCCCTGCGCTGGCTCAGAAGGCACCCGAACACCACCCGGGGGCCGCGGTAGGAGGGCAATGACTTTTTTTTTTTTTTTGAGGAGAAAGAGGCGCAGCAGGGATTGAGCACCGGCAAACCGCCAGTGGCCTCACCGAGCCTCCAGTGTAGAGCTCCGCGGGTGCACGGAACCTATGCTTCACCCTCCTTCCCCTTCACCCTCCAGGGCTGCTCCCTGTCCCAGCACCTGTGCAGTGAACTGCGCCTTCTGCTGTTCGGCTGCCACAAGGCGCTGCAATTCTGCTTCATCAGCCTCAACGACCTCCGCCATTGCCCACAAATCTAGGGCACCTTTCGACAAGTGCGCATGCGCGGCTGACGCCCGCCCACCAGGCTAATTCCCGGTTAACCTAGCGGTTTCTTTTTCCGGTTTTCTTTGCGTGTTGACTGTAGTTGCGTAACTGCTTCCGGGTTACTGGGTGACCTTGAGCCCTAAGGACCGGGATGGCGGTGCTTTGGAGGCTGAGTGTTTTCTGCGGTTCCCAAGGAGCCCGAGGTGAGGCATGCTGGCAGCCAGAGGCGCTTAGTGAAGCTTACAGCGGGGTAAGGGATAAGGGTGAGGAATTGACTGCAGAGAGTGAGACCTCTGGAGGAGAAGAGAATTCCTCCTTTCCTTTGGCCGCTCTGGCACCTGCCGGAAACCACAGCAATGACCGTTGTCGTCCAAGGGCCCAGATAGTCATCTGACCGTGTATTTCACCTGCTTTGGGCTGACGTGGTGAGCACATCTGAAAAAGAGCTTCTTTTGGGAGTCACAGTCCTGCAGAGGCTATTCCGGTTAGGCGTTCTCTTTTTCCTCCATGCGCTGCCCTTAGAATGCTACTACCCCGAATCGGAAAGGAGGGTTAAGGTGGGGATCCCAGTGCCTGGTCTTGCCCATTTCGCCTGTGGTTGGTGTGTGTGAGTGTAGGGGTGGGGAGATCAGTTCGATAATTATTTAGCTGGACATTTGTGGTATACCAGCCACTGTTGTAAGATTGGGATACATATGTGAATAAAACATACTTACTGCTCTCAAAGAGCTATCGTTATTATAGGGAAAACACACCTGATTATATCATCTTAATATAAGGTAAAAACTGTTGTGCTAGGCGTTAGAGTCCAGAGAAATAGTGTTGATTTTGTTCTGTGTTTTGGAAGGAGTCTCTGCGTCGCCCTTGGTTACTAACCAAAAGCCCCAGAGACGCCGTAGAAGAATGGCTTGGCGATCTACTTCTGAAAGGTTACAGCCATTGAAATCCTATGGAGCACAGTTCTACATGGGGTTGCCATGAGTCAGAATCGACTGGAGGACAACTGTTTTGTTTGATTTTTTTTTTTGAGGGGGGGAAGGATTACCCTGCCTTGGTTCTGGAAGGAGATGTGCCTGATCTGAGTGTTGAGGATAAGAAAGCATCAGGGAACAAAGGCATTATGGTTAGAGCTACTGTGATCAGCAAAAGCAATGATAACCGGTTGCTGACAAGTCAGTACCAACTCATGGTAACCCTAGATGTGTCAGAGTAGAACTGTGCTCTATAGGGTTTTCAATGGCTGACTTTTCAGGAGTAGATTGGCAGGACTTTCTTTTGAGGTGCCTTTGGATGAACTTGAATCTCCAACCTTTTGGTTAGCACCTGAGCACCTTACCCGTTTACACCATCCAGGGATTCCAAAGCAACGGTGAAGGTGTAGAAATAGCATGGCATGAGAGAAAAACAAAACAAATTGGATATATTAGAGTCTCAAGATTAAGGTGAGGAATGGTAGATGAACCTGGAAAGATGAGTTAGAACCACATCACAGAGAACTTACAAGTCTTGATAAGGAGTGTGCAGTGGTTTGTGAAGGGGAGCCATTGAAAATTTTGACATACATTTGCAGTTTAGATGGATTACTTTGGTAGCAATATGGTAGATGGTGGTGATGGAAGATGGGTGAAGCGAAGACTGACATCAGGGGGACAAGTTAGGACATTATTGTAATAGTCCAGGCAAGGATGGTGAGGTACTAAACTTGAAAAGTAGTATGAAGAGGAGAAGATGGTCTCAAGAAATGTTAAAGAGATATGTCAATAGGACTTAGTGATTGATTGAATTTAAGGGGAAAGTCCTACATGACTTCTAGATTTCTAGACTAGATGAAAGAGTGCCTGGGAATGTATTATGCAAAGTAGGAAACATACAAATGGAGAACAAGTCTTGGATGAGAAAGTGAGTTGAAGGATGATTTCAGTTTTAAGCATGGTGACTTTGAGAAGCATGTGATGTATCTCAGTGGAGAGGCCCAGCAGGCAGATGAACTTCTGAAACTCTGGAGAGATGTCAGAGCTGGAGATACAGATTTGGGTATCATCAAGTTATAGGCAGTAGGTAGAACCAGAAATGGCTTGGGGTGGGCATAGGGAGCAAGGAGAGCAATAGGCAGAGCTGGGAAAACCAACATTTAATAATGAATGCAGGAAGAGACTGATAAAGCATAATCAGAGAAGCAGGAGAACTAGAAGAAAGTTCTGTCAGAAAAAAAGGGAGGAGAGGCCACGTATGCCTGGCGAGGCCCAGTAAGATGAAGACAGAACAGTACCCGTTGAATATGACCACATGAAGATCATTGGTGACTCACCAAAGCAGCTTTGGTGGGGATAAAAACAAGTTTCCAGAGAGCTGAAAAATTAGATAGAGAAGTGAGGAAGTGGAGATGACTTGGACAGCACTTTCAACAAGTATGGCTAGAAAGAGAAAGAAGAGAGAGCAGGGCAGAGAGTGCATGGGCATTAGTTAGAGTACATGGGATCAAGGGAAGAATTCAGTGTATTACATGGGTTGAAAATGGCCAGTGGGAAAGAATGAGAGGTTGAAGACACAGGAGAGAGAATAATAAGAAATTACCTTTTATTGAGTGCTTATAACATTGTGGGAAGGGGCAGTGGTGGTTCAGTGGTAGAATTCTCACCTTCCATGTAGGAGACCTAGGTCCGATTCCAGTGCACCTCATGTGTAGCCACCACTTGTCTGTCATTGGTGGTTTGTGTGTTGTTATGGTGCTGAACAGGTTTCAGCGGAGCTTCAAGACTAGGATGGACTAGGAAGAAAGGCTGGAGATCTACTTTCAAAAATCAGCCAATGAAAACCCTATGGATTACAACAGCTGATCATGAGGATGACGCAGGAGCAGGCAGCATTTCCTTCCATTGTGCATAGGGCTCCCATGAGTCAGGAGTCAACTCATTGGCAGCTAACAACAATATAACATTCTGGGTACTATACTGAGCACCTGGCATACATTATTTTATTTTCAGCATAGTGTTGTGAAGTAATGCTATTATTTCCATTTTACAAATGAGGAATTTGAAGGTTAGAGAGCCTGTTTAACTCAGTTGCCCATCATCTCATAGCTAGTAAGTGATGGAGGTGGGTGAATTTAGGTTTATTTTTTTAACCAAGAGGCAGAGTCCAAAAGAGGACAGAAGGCATGGGATCAAGAGTACAATTGGAGAAATTGGTCTTGAAAAAGAGGAAGGTAATAAATGAACTTCCCAAACTAGATTGAATTCCTTGAGGGCAAGGACTTTATCTTTTGTCTGTCTTGCTTCAGGGTAGACCACAATCTTGTGTGTAGTAAATGTTTGTTGGATGAATAGACGAATACTGTAAATGGAAAGAGAAAGGAGCTACCATTTGTTTTAAAAACTAATAACAGTGAGGCCCTTTTATATAAGTGATTCATTGATTCTCCCATCTATCAACAGATACTTAACCTTGCCTTACGGCAACCTGGTGAAATAGATGTCCTCATTTTACAGATGAGTTGTTATCCCTTACTTGGAGTTAAGTGATTTGTCTATGGTACTTAGAAAGTCTGTTAACCTTGGTAAAAGTAGAGGTGTTTATGACCCGCCTGATTTTTCTTTCCTCAGCTCTGTTCCTCCGAACTCCAGTGATCAGACCTGCCCATGTCTCAGCATTTCTCCAGGATCGGTCTACCCCAGGAGTGCAGCACATTCTTCTGTCCCCCAGCCACCATTGTATGTGCTCTTCATCACCATGGCTTTCTGGGCCATGGCCATCCTCTCTGGGCTAATTATCATGCCTGTGGCAGGACTTGCGGTCTCTGTGGGAGACTCTCGTGTCTAACTCTGTCAAATGAAGATCTAGCCTACAGCTTTGGGCAGACAATGCCAGCATAGTTGATTGATACCATTTACACTCGTAAAGAACCTTTTCGACTAAAGCCAAAACGTGAAATTTTTTTTTTTTTAAAAGAAAATAGCTCTGTAGCAAGAGTCTTCAGTATAGTTTAATCACTCTTATTTATTTAGCTACTGGAGAGGAGCCAGATATGGATAATTTACAGTAGTAGGCAATTTAAAAAGTCGTGTCTTGTGGAAATGCATTGTGCATTCCACAGCAGTTGACCTGCTTTTTTTTTTTTTTTAGGTTGCTATTAAAATCATACGGCATTTCCTAAATGAATTAGATGTTATTAAAATTAGCCTTAGAACTGTAGGTAAATCTGGAGGTGAATAATTGAATTGACTGTATTTCCATTTTTAAAGCCTGCAAAGGTCAGTATTTTATAGAGATACAGATTTTTCTTGATTCTCAAGTCAACCACTTATATACAGTTGTATCTGAGTTATGAGAGGTTAGGCAAATATAGTGCTTTTTCAGCTTTTAAGAATCTTTTTACTTCTTTCAGTTAGATTTAGCAGAGTGGTTTTAACTTGGGGGATTCATAGGGCTGCAGGAAATCACCTGAAGTTATATATGTAGTTTTTTCTATATGTGTATTTTTCTGGGAAGAAGCTCCATCCGTTTTATTAGATTCCCAAAGGGACCTGTAATCAAAACCAGGTACCCATTGCCATTGAGTTGATTCTGACTGATAGCGACCCCACAGGACAGAGTAGAACTATTCCCTAGGGTTTCCAAGGAGTGGCTGGTGGATTCAGACTGCCAACCTTTTGCACAACCACTGCACTGCCAGGGCTCCAGTCAAAACCAGATAGAGCTTCTCAAAGAAAGGATTAAAGCCCACATGATTTTCACTAGTTTAAAAGAAATTTTCATGTTCCATATCTGGTTGGAGCTATTTGTAAGCAATGAGACAGAAGGACTGTGATCTTAAAAATTCAGTCAGGACTTTGCTTCTTCCTGAGCTGATCAGTTTAATTCTGTTTTGAGAAGATTGTTAGTATTCATTACTTCCAAATATTAGAAGGCGTAAATAGACAAGTAGTATTTTAAAGGAACTCCTCCGGCATCATTCACTTCTGTTCACAAGGTGTTTGTCCACTGCCCTAAAGTCCACGATTGGCGTAACTTTACAAAGATATCTCGTTTATCCTCCATGCCTGTAAGCAAAGTGGATCTGTCTTCTAATTCAGAAATGTAGGCATTGAGACACCCTTGTGCTAAAAGACTTCAAAGAAGGGAGATAGCATTTCTCTGAATTACCTGTTTTTTTATCTTACCTTCTTTAGGCTTAGAGTTAAATCTTACATGCATACTGTTTGCTATTCTGTCAGTTTGGGTTATTTTGTGACAAATGTTGAACATAGGAGGTGTGTATTTCCCCCCCTCATCTCTTGTGAATTTGGTCCATTTTGTAGCTGCTTCCAAGGCTGCATCTCTCCACTGGACTGGTGAGAGGGTTGTCAGTGTTTTGCTCCTGGGCCTGCTCCCAGCTGCTTATTTGAATCCTTGCTCCGCGATGGACTACTCCCTGGCTGCAGCCCTCACTCTCCACAGTCACTGGCAAGTACAGCAGTCCCTTCAGTATTTTGTTCTCTGCTCAGTTTGTTTGTTGTGAGCATGTCTCATATATTGCATATGGGGGAGAAGTTAATTGAGATACTCAAGACCTGCAGAAGACTTTAAAACATACGTGAAAAACTTATATCACCAGATTTACATATCCACCTGCCTATTCAGTGTCTTCATTTGCATATCTGATAGATATTTTGAATATAGCATGTTATAAAACTGAGCCCCCAAGCACCTCCAGACCTGTTCCTCCTGCACTCTTGCTCATCTCAGCGGCATTTCCAGCCTAAGGTAAACCAGCATCTCACCTGGCTGCTTAAATTGCCTCCTAACTAGTTTTTTTTTATTTTTGTTATTGCCTCTCCTCCCTGACCCACACTGTCCTTTGCCACACGGGAGCTAGAGTGACCCGTTTAAAAACTAAAGTTTAATTTCTCCAAAGAAGATAACCCAAATGGCTAATAAGCACGTGAAAAGATGCTCAGTGTCATTTTTCATTAGGGAAATGCAAATAAAAACCACACAAGATACCACTTCATACCCACTACAAAACCAAAAACCAAACTAGTTGCCATCCAGTTGATTCTGACTCATGGTAATCCCATGTGTTTCAGAGAAGAACTCTACTCTGTAAGGTTTTCAATGGCTGTAATCTTTTAGAACCCACTAGGATGGCTCTGATAAAAAAGATAGATAATAACAAAGGTTGGGAGAATTTGGAACCCTCATACATTGCTGATGCTAATGTACAATATTATAGCTGCTTTGGAAAACTGGCAGTTCCTCAAAAAGTTAAATATAGAGTTACCATATTACCTAGTAATTCACACACACACACACACACACACACACACACACGTACTCATATATATATGCCTCAAAGAGAATTGAAAACATACGTCCACACTTGTACATGAATATTCATAGCAGTATTACTCATACTAGCCTAAAAGTGGAAACAGCCGAAATGTTCTTCAACTGATGAATGGATAAAACAAAATGTGGTATATTCCTATAATGGAATGTTACTTGGCTATAAAAAAGAGTAAAGTACCAATATATGGTACAACATGGAAGAACCTTGAAAACGGTATGCTAAATGAAAGAAACCAGTCACAAAAGTCCGCCAATTGTATGATTCCATTTATATGAAATGTACACAGTAGGCCAGTTCATAGAGACAGAAGGTAGATTAGCGGTTGCCAGGGACTGAAGGGAGGAGGGAATTAGGAGTAACTACTAATGAGTACAGACTTTCCTTTTGGGTTAATGAAAAAGTCCTGGAATTAGATAATGGCAGTGGTTACACAACTCTGTAAATATACTAAAAACCACCGAATTATATACTTTAAAAGGGTGAGTTTTATGGTTTGTGAATTTTATAGCTGTTATGAAAAAAAAAAGTAAAATTAGGTCACTCCTTATTTAGGTCACTTCTCTGCTTAAAACACATCAGTGGTTTCCCATTATAATTCAAATAAAACTCAAACTCCTTATCATCACCTTCAGGGCCCTACATGATCTGCCCTGCCTTCCTCTCATCTCCACCTCACTCCTGTGCTCCAGCCACACTAGCCTTTTTACTATTCCTCAGAGATGATAAGGTCATTGTCTCTTTTGTTTGGTATGTTTTTCTAATTCAGGTCATCCTGTCTAAAATGTTGCTTCATAGCATATACATACTTACTTTTCTTTCCCCTTGTCAGAGTGTATTTTCCCTAAGGTCAGGGATGTTGTCTTGTTTACTGTATTCCCACCATTTATAACAGGTTCTGGCACATAATACGTGCTCAGTAAATACTCTCTGAATTAATGACAAACTCCATAGAGTATTTGTTTTTGTTAAAAAAAAAAAAAAAGATTTTCTAAGTAGATGACATTACTGTCTCTGATACAAATGACCCTGAAAAATCCTAAGACTAGTAAGATGCATTTACTATTAGGAAACTCTTGGTTCATTTATGTTGATTTCTGATTCTTATTACTGTGAGTTGCTTTCGTTTAGCATTACAAAAAAGGATAGAAATAATTCCACCTATGAAAATAGCTATACAGAATCTCCTGAAGTAGCAAACAGTTATTGGAGTGGCAGATAGAGACATTGCATTTTGAATGTGAGTGACTTTTTTTGTAGCTAAGTTAAATTCACTTGTGTGTTTTTTTTGTTTAGGGGTATTGGACAGGTTGTTACTGACTATGTCCATGGGGAGACATCACAGAAAACTGCCAAGGCAGGCCTCTTGGCACTCTCGGCTTTAACATTTGCTGGTCTTTGTTATTTCAACTATCATGATGTGGGCATCTGCAAAGCTGTTGCCATGCTGTGGAAGCTCTGAGTTTTTTGACCTGATGCCTTAAAAAATGATTGTACACCTCTTTGCCTCTGCTTTTTCATGCTGTTCAGCTGACATAAGAAATAACAGATACGTCCACTGGTGAGACAACAGTCTTCTCTTAGTCACATGGTTACTTTCAGAATCTAATCTTTTAGGAAAAGGTTTGAGAGGAATTATATTCATAAAAGAGTGAGACTGAGTTCTGTATTCTTGTGAGATACTGGGATTGTCTCCTGACTTCTCTCAAGACTCACAGTATAACTAAACATTATACACAAGCTTTTGCTTTTTAACTTGCCTGTCTGTTAATGGGAATTCAGTTTATTACTGTCAGCACATTATGATCAAACCTCTTCCATATTTGTTCTGGGAATGATGGACAGTGGGAAAGATTGTTAACTCATAAATAAAGATATTGCAGAAAATTATACTGTGTTTAATTTTTGGAAACTTTCCTCTGTGCAGTTGATGCCAGCTACTGGTGATTACATGTCCAAGGGAAACATTTAACCTTTGAAAGTGCTGATATCTCACATTACTAATTTCTAAATCCTAGGAGGAAGAGTTTAGGGAATTTTTGAATATAGAGAAGTTCCATTTAGAGAAGAGGTCCCCTTGTAGATGTATTAAAATACTGCAGATTCTAAACTGAGACTTGTCCTTCAAATGTCCTTAAATAATCTGCCTACAAATATAAAACTATGATGTAACAAACGATTATTTTCTTACTTTGGGCATTTCTAATGTAAAAATGTATTCTATGAAAATAACAAAAAATTGTAAAATAAAATGCTGTATAATAGAAGTGTATTCTAGTCTTTTATGTATCAACTGTCCCTAGTTTTGTCCCTGGGTGGCACAAACAGTTTGCCCTTGACTGCTAGCTGGAAAGGTGGGTGGCTTGAACTCACCCAGTGGCACCATGGAAGAAAGGCCTGGCGATCTGCTTCTGTAAAGTTTTCAGCCAAGGAAACCCTATGTAACGATACATGAGATCGCCATGAGTAGGAATTATCCCAATGGCAATTGGTTTGGTTTTGATTTTGGTCTCTATAGTTTTGTTCATTAGAACTGAATGTCTATCCACAGCACTTTGGGTAACACTAAAACAGTTAGAACTAAGTGTTTAAATTTCCTTCTGGGGCTTAAAACAGTTGAGACAGACACAGAATACTGTAATATAGAATAGGCTTATGTGTAATAGGCAGAAATATATTGAGTATAGATGTTGGTGTGAGTAGAGTATTAAGATAAGTAGGGGCCTCTGGAGGCGCAAATGGTTGAGCACTTGATGACTATCTGAAAGGTTGGCAGTTCAAATCCACCTAGTGGTACCTCAGAGGATAGGCCTGGTGATCTGCTTCTGAAAGGTCATAGCCTTGAAAACCCTGTGGTGCAGTTCTTCCCTGCACACGTGGGGTCACCATGAGTCTGAATTGACTCAATGGCAACTAACAACAACAATAGAAATTAGAGCTAGGTCCAGGTTATGGTGGTCTGTCAGTGCCAGCTTTTGGAATTCAAATTATATTCTGTGTGCATCTAGTCTAGTCTATGAGTTTAGTGTAAGGCATGATGGTTTCTCCTAGTGATATAGAGTAACTGTTTGGGAGGGGAAGCTGGACCTTGGCACAGGAACCAACTGGCAGCTAAGACAATTACTGAAGGATAGCTGGCTAGAAGGGCACAAAGGGTAAGTTGATCCATGAATATCTGTGCACTAGGAGGTTAAAGATAAGCTCCTCTTAAGCTTATGGAGCCTTTGTGGCACAGTGGTTAAGAGCTTGGCTGCTGACCAAAAGGTCAGTAGTTTGAATCCACCAGCTGCTCTTTGGAAGCGCTGCAGAGCAGTTCTACTCTGTCCTACAGGGTCGCTATGAGTCGGAATTGATGGCAACGTGTTTGATTTATGGTGTTTATGGTCTTATAGGAGGTTCAGATGTGGGTGAAGAGTTTGGGAAGCCATGATTAATTCTGATTTGGGGATGGATTAAAGAAAGTTTCAAAAGCGAGTAATGCCTGAATAGCAGTGGCATACCAAGAGGTGAGGGGACCAGTCTGCCCGGGTGGAGACGATTATTTTATTACTGGCATTGTTTAGAATTGCTAGTGCACAGTGATGATAAAAAGCAGACTGACCTTTGGTCAGTTTTATTATTGTTTTTAAATTCTCCATAGACAGTACTCCCCCTTAGTATCGTTCCCACCCTCCTCCACCCCTGTACACCACTACTGTATAATGCAGTGATGAAATGGTATTTTCCATATTGTCAAAGTGGAGTGGGCAGTGACTCTGGATAATATGGGAATCCTGTGTCTATCAATGATACTATCAGATCCTAGCTTGTGTCTGGAAGGGTGTCTACTGCTAATGAGCAGCATTAGCTAGTGAATTAGAGTGGAGGCTGGTTGGGTACTGCCTGCCCTAGGTCTCCGAGTGGTTTAATAATTAGGATGGAGCTAGCTGCCATTTCAGGAAATTAGTGGGTTGATATGAGGTACTGGAGCAGCAGGGAAAATGAGGCAGGGGCCAACAGCAATAGATTCTGAGACTGTGCAGGACATGACATTAGGAAGGATGTAAGTCCCTGGGTGGAGCAATTGGTTTGTGCTCGACTACTAACTGAAAGGTTGCTGGTTCAAACCCACCTGTAAAGATTACAGCCAAGAAAATCCTATGGGGCAGTTCTCGTCTATAACACAAGGGATCTCCACAAGTAATTGACTCTATGGCAAGGGTTTAGGAAAGACATTTACATTTAGGAATATTGATAAGCTAGAAGTAGAAGGAGTTCCAAGAGGATAGAGTTAGAAGTAGGAGACTGAACTTGGACAGTGGCAGTGAAATATAGGAGTCAACTTCAAAAGGTATTGTAGAAGTTACCAACATTCAATAAATATCAAGTACCTCATGTAATTGACACTGTGCCTGGTGCTGTGAATAAAGAGGTAAGTTTTCTCTGGCCTTAAGTTCATAGTCTAACTAGGGTAACAGATAAATGATTGTAATACAACGTGGTAAGTGCTGTAATAGTTAAGTGCATAGTACACAGTGATGTAAGAAAAGGTGAGGTAAGAATTTGCCTGCATGTTTCCTGGAAGAGAAGATTCTTGACCCAGGTTCTGAAAGATAAGTAGTTAACAGGTGGCCAAGGAAGCTGGGGTGAGGTGTGGGGATGACGAGAAGATGGTATATCAAGCAGAAGAGTGCATGTAGTTTGGTATGACTGCAGGATAGAGAGGGATGATTATAGAGGACCTTATATGCCATGGTAAGTAATTGACACTTTACCTCAATGGTGATGAGGAGACATTGTTAATTATGCAAATGACATGGTCAGATTTTTATTTTACGTAGGTTATGCAGGCAGCTGTGTAAAGTATGGATGTGAGGAAAAACGTGGAAACAGATTTTAGTGGTCCAGAAAAGAAATGCTAAATTCTAAAGGCAGTGGTGGTTGGAATGAAGGAGAACAAATTCAAGAGATACTTAAAACTTAGAAACAATAGAAGTTATACTGGGGTATGAAAGATTAAGAGAGGGAGTAGTCTAGGCTCAATTTTTTGTATTGTGACCAGGTAATTGGAAGGTGGTGTCATGAATTAGAGTAGTGAGAATTTCTGAAGGAAAATTAGATGGTGGTAGTGGGGGGGAATATGGAAGACTAAATTAAAAAAAAAAATGCTTTGCTATGAAACATCTAAGCATGTTACATAAATAACAACAAAAATACACTTTAAGATGTATGTCTGAGCTTGCAAAAAGAAATCCTCTGAAGCCAGAACAAAGTGAAGGTGTATTTAGGGAGGCAAGCAAATGCTGAGGGCAGCAGTTGCTCTGGGAGCATCTACTAATGCCAAGTGGCCTAGATTTATAGTTTTAAGAAGAGGCTACACAGAGGACAGGAGCAAATATTAGGGAGTTATATAGCAGGCTCCCTAAAACCAAGAGCCACAAAGAGTTTTACCCTCAGAGAAAGGATGGATTAGAAAAAATAATTTTACATGAAAAAGCAGAGAGCAAAGAAATAAGTCATTTTGTCTTGGTTCTGATTGGAGGAAAAAAAGTCCCTCCTGAGAACACGTGGCCAAGCGGCAGCCCTCATGCCACTTTGGGGCCGGAGTTTGTACTATTTGCGTGGCCTGACAAAACCACATATTGCGAATCTGCAATTTACCCGGGTTGGTAGTGCCCCAGATGCCTGATCCTTGATGTGGGGATTTCTTCACATTTTTTCTCTTGGTTTATAATAAATAAAATGAGTACGATTTTGGCCCTTTTATATAAAATATTTTGACTAATATTTTTGTAAAGTTTGAACCAATTGTCCCTGTCACTTGGGTTATTATTATTAGCAGCATAAGTATTATAGGTCTGAAGGTAGTTCAGGAGACACCAAGCAGTATGAAACAGTTTTGACAAAACCCATGTCTTTCCCCTTACTCATCACCCAGCCCCTAACGAGGGCAGAGTGTTGTATTTTAACCACTCTTTCTTAATACAGAAATCAGATTGCGCAATGCCTTTGTAATACTAATGCTAGTAAAGGCTCTTTGTATCACAGTAGCCTAAGAATATCTTTTAATTTTAAAAATATTAACTTAGTATGAGTTTTAACCTTAATAACTGAAATTTTCTTTGGGTGTTGGATTTTTTTCAGTAAGACATTAATTTCTGTTTTCAATTTTTGATTGAGTTGTCTGAGGAAGTTAGGAAACCCCTTTGTACAGTATGCTGAAATCATGAGCAATCTCGAAAGCTCATCCATAGACAGTATGGATATTAACTCTTTAACTTTTAGCAAGTTGACATGCTCTTAATAGGGCTATCGGTTCAGCTATCTGAGCTGTTGGTTACAAAATGTTCCAAAATCAGATATTTTAATTATAATCTAATCTATTTCTTCCAGAAGAATTTTTTCCTCAGAATTTATTTCATAGTCACAAAACAGAAAAATGTTGTCAGACTAACAAGCAGGATAGGAGCAAATTGTGTTAAAGCAGCAGGATTTCCTACAGAAATAGAGTCACTGGTATATATTAAGAATGTTCATTAATTAAGGTAACAAAAATAAATAAGTACCATTAGGCCCTTTGGAGGAGAATTTGAGCAAATCCATGATTCTGCTCCCCCTCCCGCCCCTGCACTTTTGAAAAATCATCTTTATTTAGGTACAATTTACGCTTATGATTCCCTATTAAATCTGGCAGAACAGTCTTTTTCCCAGTGTCCTTATCCCCTATAATGAGCACGTTGGTTTATTTTAAAATCATTTTTCACAAATAGCCAAACTTGCTTCAGGTTGGAATGTCCCTTATAATGAGCACATTGGTTTTTTTAAATCAGTTTTCACAAGTAGCCAAACTTGCTTAAGGTTGGAAAGTCCCTTATAAGGAGCACATTGGTTTTTTAAATCAGTTTTCACAAATAGCCAAACTTGCTTAAGGTTGGAATGTCTACCTTCCAAACCAATGAGGTTAGGAGAAAGAGTAAAGCGTAGAAGGAGGAAAAAGAAGAAAGGTGTGGTAAATAACCCAAAATAAGATGGTAGAAATTAAATCCAGATATAGCAGTAATCACTAGGAGGGTGAATGGGTTAAACTTGCTGGTTAAAATATAAAGATTCTCAGATGAGATAAAACAAAATCTGGCTATATCCTTTATAAGAGATTTACCCAAAGTATAAGTACGTAGAAAGGATGAAAGCAAAAGGATAGAAAAAGATATACTCTTCCAATACAAACCAAAAGAAAGCTGACGTATTTATATTTATATCATTCAAAATAGACTTTAAAGCAGAAAACTTTATTAAAGACAGAGGGTCATTACATAATGATAAAATAAAGAGTTC